GAGCTAGGCCCAGAGTTGTGCCAAAAAATTCGGGCACCGCAGAGAGCCCTCAATGGAACAATTCAATCGTTCGAGGCCCTGGCTGGGCGACCCCTTTGGACGTCAAGCCTGTTGGGCGTTTTTTGGCTTAGCCCGGCCTAGGTGGCATGTGGGAGAAGAGCACGCCCCCGGCCCCAAGCCTTGACCCCACGCTACACGGGTCGGGCGTTTAAGTTCGGGTTAGCCGAGGAAGGACCAAGGCCCACGTCGTCTTGGATTCCCGGACCCGCGACCGCGTAGTCCACACCCATCCCACGCTCGCTTCGGCGCCATCAAGAAACAAAGCACGCCGCCTCCTCTCAGCAGCAGCAAGAGCAGAACAGCGGTGCCTTTGCTTCGCATGCCAACAACACCGCTCAGCGTTCGACCGAGGACAGTGCCACCGGCGCTCCCACTGCACCCACGTGCGGGGGAGCCGCAGCTCCAGCCACGCGCCCTTGGCGGCTCCGTCTGGGGACCAGCTGCTGTTGTCCGAGACCCTCGGTGACAAAGGACACCTCTGGTGGCTCAACCACCACGTGTCACGTTGCCACCAGCGCTGCTGGTACGGGGGAGAAGACATCAGCAGTGGGTGGTCATCTACCAGACATCGCTGCTGGCAGTTTTGCCACGTCAGCTGAGCCAGCCACCGTCAAGGACGCGCTTGCCTCGCCAGACTCCGAGGAATGGCGCCAAGCCATCCTGGACGAGTTTGCGGCAATGCAGTAGGTCAATGCGGGGGAGTGTTAAGTCCTGTCTGCTGAGTCATCAGTCATCATTGACCTCCATTCTTCACGACACCACAAATTCACATTCACCTCTCTTGTGTTCTGGAATGTTCACGTGATTTCCCTCCAACCTGTTGCACGTGCAGTGTTTACCTTGTGTGGTTGCTCGATGTTACATGCTCTTGCATAACACACCACATAACCACACAACTCTCAACAAACACTGCCACGTCACCACTTTGCGTTGTCGACAATTCTTGTCTTCTGTTCTGTTTCTTTCTGTTGGAGTGTTCATTCATCCTACATCCTTGTTTGCTTCACAACTCAAGTAAACACACACAACTCTCTCTTGCCAAGACAATCTCCCACACAACACACAGCACACACAGCACACACAGCACACACACACACACACACAAGTCTCCAACAACAGCACCACCACCATGAACTTACAACACACACATCTGCTGCTCCAGCTGCTGCAGCCTGATGCTGAGCTCGAGGAGGGAGGGAAAGCGGCCACTGGCAAAGTAGGGAAGCGTGAGCGGGGCTGTCCAGCGTGGCAGCTGCTTCCAGACGATGGTGAAGAGGTCCTCGTTGTCCTGGCGCACGCCTGCGTCCTGCAACTGCTGCTGCAGCTCCATGTGTCGCTCGAAGAAGCGGGCGAGGTTGCCGCAGGGAACGTGAAGCTGCGCCTCCTTGAGCTCTGCGATGCGGAGGCGGTCCTGCGAAGCGTAGTGGTCCTTGAGCCGGGCCCATCCTTGGCCGGCGTTGACGTCTGCTTCTCCGTTGGTGAAGAGGAGAAGGGGGTAGCCTGAGAGCGTGGACGCGATGAGGTTTGCAGCGGTGAGGTTGGCGTGATCTCCTGCTGTCGGTCTCCTTGCACTTGAGCGTGTCGCTGAGCTTGGACCTCCTGATGACGATGCTCCTGCCTCCACAGCTGCCCAGACGTCGTCGCCGCGCAGCTTGAGCGCCATCTTCATGCGAATGCTCCACGCATGAAAGGTGCCGGGCGAGCCAGAGAACTTGGGCAGGTCCATCTTGAATCCTGGCGTGGAAACGACGTGGTCCGACGGGTCAGACATACTGCACGCTCAAGAAAGGTGATGGAGAAACAAGAGAGGGGAACAAGCAGAAGGGAGAGAAGACGCACAAGCGAGTGTGAGACAAGTGGTGATGATGATCAGGAGTGGCTGGGTCTCATAATCTGTAGAAACACGACAGGTGGTGTGTGTGTTTACTGTAGGCAAACGCAACAAACAAGAACACAAGGAGAATGAACAAGCACAACAAGCTGCTGCCAAATCAACTCCGGCAGCACGCTCAAACAAACACTAGACAAGTGCACACACAGTCAACAGAGCTGCCAAGGCGACATGGGCAGAGTGTGCACGAACACAAACAATCTAAACAATGAGCAGCATGCATACATGCGCGCAGAGCAATGCTAAGCATGGCATGAATGTTGACAGGCAAGTCTTGTCTGCTGAGTCATATCATTGACCTCCCTTCTTCACGACACCACAACTTTGCATTCACCTCTCTTGTGTTCTGGAATGTTCACGTGATTTCCCTGCAACCTGTTGCACGTGCAGTGTTTAGCTTGTGTGGCTGCTCGATGTTACATGCTCTTGCATAACACACCACATGACCACACAACTCTCAACAAACACTGCCACGTCACCACTTTGCGTTGTCGACAATTCTTGTCTTCTGCTCTGTTTCTTTCTGTTGGAGTGTTCATTCATCCTACATCCTTGTTTGCTTCACAACTCAAGTAAACACACACAACTCTCTCTTGCCAAGACAATCCCCCACACAACACACAGCACACACAGCACACACACACACAGCACACACACACACACAAGTCTCCAACAACAGCACCACCACCATGAACTTACAACAGATTATGAGACCCAGCTCAATTAGCGCAGACGGCATCAAGGTCTTCGCTGGCGCTGAGCAGGATGCCAACCTCTTCTTCATCACCGTCGAGGCCAAGCTCATCGCCGCTGGCATCGACGCTGGCATCATCGCCGAGGGTGGTGCTGACCACCAAGGAGACGGGCAGGCTCCAGCAGCTGCCTCATCGCCGAGCCCAAGCACCCACGGTGCTTCGGGTCCCCGCACTCGCTCCCGCGCTCAACGCGGCCCTCGCCGCACTGGCGTCCGCCACGACGCGGGGGAACACGACGACGATGACGACGACGAGGGCGATGGCGACGACCACGGCGCTCAACCATCTTCCTCCTCTTCCTCTCTCCCTTCTTCCGCCACTCCGAGCGGAGGAGCGCAGGTGGCGTCCCGAGCCTCTGGCCTGCTGGATCCCCGTGATCCACAGGTTGACGCAGCCATCTTCGCGTTCCTCCTTGGCGTCCTGACGGGACACCCGCTGCGGCTGGCCATCACCGACAACCGTGGCCGCTCAGGTGTGCTTGCGCTGCGCCGCCTCCGCGAGCGCTACATCCGCAGCGGCAAGGACCACGTCAGTCGTCTCAGGCAGCAGCTCTCCTCGACCACCTGGTTGCCCACGGACACCGTCGACACGTTCATGTCCCGCATCACGGACATCAACTCGCAGCTCCTCGCTGCCGGCGTGTCCATCCCGGAGGACGACCTGCGCACCCTCGTCCGCAACGAACTCCCCGCAGAGTTTGATGTGGCGATGCGGTTCATGGAGCGCGAGGACCCGCCACCATCACTGTCCAAGATGACGGCGGACCTCATCCAGGAAGAGCGCCGCCTGCATCGTCCCAAGAAGCGCACGCCTGTGCTCGCCATCGGCGGACCAGGCCCCGGCTCCTTCGCTGCATCACCGATGCACGCTGGCACGTCGCCCTCCGACACGAGCGGTGACCCATGCTGTCCACCTGCAGAGCGCGTGACTTGCGCGTTCTGCAACTTCCGCGGCCACTGCGCGCAGCAGTGCCGCAAGCTGCAGGCGGCCAAGCGCTACCACGTCATCGACGTGCGGCAGATCCTGGCTACGCTTCGCAACCACGGCAACGGCAACGGCAAGCGGCCAGGATGTAGTAACACGACAGGTGGTGTGTGTGTTTACTGTAGGCAAACGCAACAAACAAGAACACAAGGAGAATGAACAAGCACAACAAGCTGCTGCCAAACCAACTCGGGCAGCACGCTCAAACAAACACAAGACAAGTGCACACACAGTCAACAGAGCTGCCAAGCCGACGTGGGCAGAGAGTGCACGAACACAAACAATCTAAACAATGAGCAGCATGCATACATGCGCGCAGAGCAATGCTAGGCATGGCATGAATGCTTGCAGGCAAGCATACACAACGAACAACACTTCACAACACTGCATGGCACGCACACATGGCATTTGCCAAGCATGACGGGCATGCACACACATGGCACACAACTCACGTGTGTAGGGGAAGGGGGAGAGGAGAGGCAGTTGGCACGCATGCCAGCAGAGAGGAAGGAATGTTTGCCAACGGAAAAAACCACAAAGCAGGTGTTGTTGGCAAACAAGACAAAACCACACGAGAAGGCAAATTAGGAAGGACTCAACACAAAACAGAAACTCACTGACTCTCAACACTCCCCCTCAACTGCCTTCCTCTGTTCCGTCTCAGCCGTCGATGTTCCCACCAGTCGTGGCAGGTGCTGCTCGAAGGTCTGCTTGTCCAGTGCCTTGATCAGCGCGTCGGCAACCATCTGCGTGCCTGGACAGTGCTGCAGCACAATGGTTCCGTCGGCGATGAGCTCCCGCACGAAGTGGTGGCGTACCCGGATGTGCTTCGTGCGCGGCTTGGTGACGTGGTCGTTACCGATGGCGATGGCCGCCTGGTTATCTGTCAGCATCTTGGTGGCTCCAGCCTCGGGCTCGTCGAGGTCCATGAGCAGCTGCCGCAGGAAGACGACGTCCTGCGCTGCTGCGGAGACGGCCATGTACTCGGCCTCAGCGGTGCTCAGCGCAACCGTGGGTTGCAGCCGGCTGCTCCAAGACACAAGACAGCCGTTGATGTAGCAGGTGAAGCCCGTCGTGGAGCGGCCCGTCAGCTGGTCCGTGCCGAAGCTGGCATCGCTGTAGCACACCAGGTCCAGCGGTTGGTCCTTGCGCGTGCCGCTGCGTCGCTTGAAGAGGAGGCCGTGCTCGCTCGTCGCCTTCAGGTACCGCACGACGTGCTTGGCTGCCTGCCAGTGGACCGTCGTGTAACGGTCCATGTAACGGCAGAGCAGTCCGCACGCGAAGCTGACGTCTGGTCTCGTGCGGTTGGCCAGGTACAGGAGCGAACCCACGAGGTTGCGGAAAGGCAGGCGTCGGTCGGGCTGCTCGCTGATGATGAGGTCGTCGACGTACGTGATGATCCATGTGCGCTGTCCGTCGTCGTGGAGCTTGGTGAAGAGGCAAGCGTCGACATTGCTCTGCGCCCA